CGGTTTGATTCCCACATGGGCTAGGGAGCTGTGCCCAAACTGTGCCCAAGCTGAGCTGCTGCTGAGCTGCCAACAGGCAGCCTGGTGGCTCAGCTGGTGAAAGCGTGTGCTCCTAACAACAAGCTTGCTGGTTCCATTCCCACATGGGATGATGGGCTGTGCCCCCCACAACTAGATTGAAAGCAGCAACTGGACTTGGAGCTGAGCTGCACCCTCCACAACTAAGATTGAAGGACAACGACTTGATTTGGGGCTGATGGGTTCTGGAAAAACACAATGTTTCCCTTCCCCAAATCCCCAACAATTTTCCCTTTCCCCAATTTCCCAATAAATTCTTTAAAACAAAACAAAAAAACAAGCTCCAACATTTTATTGTAGTAACACATTAAAAGTTCACATGCTCACCGTGGCAGTCCAGTGCAGGTTATTTCTGGTCAGTATGCAGTTTTCCTCCATGTGGTCGACTCAGGGATCCAGGCCCTTTCCTTCTTGGGGTTCTGCTATCCTGCAGGTCTCAGATTCTTCTGCATTTAGCCAGCGGATGGGGAAAGGAGTGCAGGCAAAAGGCAAACTCACTTCTTAAATGAGCTGGCTGACAAAGGACATCCTCACTTCCACTTTCATCCCCTTGGAGAGAGCTAGTCTCGACTCCATCTGGATGGAAGGAGGGCTTGGAAATGTAGTTCTTGGTGCCAGTTCTAACTTACAGATGGTGAGTCAAATTTTCAGTGGACAGCAAACCTTGTCTGCCACATTCTGTATCCAAATAGCTATGTATAAATGGCGTGTACCCCTGGCCTTCTCCTCAGAAAGGGTGTGCTCAGTCTGGATGCTGGGAAGTCAAGTGTCCTGTGCGTAAAAGGGATGGCATGTTGATTGGATTTGCTTTGACTTGTCTGAGTATCATTGAACCATGCATCTTTTTGGAATTATTTTCTTTCATTTAGTAGACCTGTGTCTTATCACAGAGCTAGGTAGCATGTCCTCTTTGTAAGCTAATAAATTGGCATGATGGTGGAAGAGTGGAAGGAGAATGGGCAACGTGCTGCTCCCTAGTGCTGCTTCCTCAACACGTGGGTGACTTTGAACAAGTGAGGTAACCTCTCCTCTCTCTGACGTCCTTACCTGTAAAATAAGAAGTTTGTTGGGCTTTGCTAACCCTTTCAGTTCTAAACTTTTGTCACTTTATAATGCTGTCGGTGAACTAACAATCGCTGAGTTTCTGGAGCGCAGACGTGAGTGACCACAGCCTCTGCATCAGTATAGCAACTCTTTACAGCCCTTCTTATCACTCCTACCCCTGCAGTCTGTCAGCAGAGATGTCACTCTTGGATAGTGAGGCTCAACGAAAACAGAGGATGAGTAACAGCATGGCAGGAAGAAACCTGATTTGTGGTGAGACATTTCTGTCAGTAACAGAAGAGAAAGGTTTTAGAGGGAATCGGCTCATCAGTCCCACCCCAAAGCCCCCTCAACAAGAAAGGTGAGGGCCAGCCAAGTGGCTCAGTTGGTTGAGCTCGCTCAAGAGTGCGAGCTCTGAGCAACAGTGGTTCGAATCCCGGCCCGAGCTGAGCAGCTGCTGGCAGGATGGCTCAGCTAAAAAAAAAAAAACAAGAAAGGTGATAAATTTCCCAGGCACTTTATAGTTCGTAAAGTAGTCACCATCCCCATAAGGTAGGCAGAACAGATTATTCTTTTCATTACATATTTAGTGTTTTTATTGGGTTGTCAGAAAAGTCATGATGCATTTTTGCAACAAAAACAGAAAAAATACGTCATGACTTTTCTGACAACCCAATAAATAGGCTCATGGTTCCTAGATCAAAAAGTACAAAAAAAGGCAGATGGTGCAAAGCTTCCGTTTCACCCCAGTCTCATACCTGCCCAGTTCTCACCTCTCACCCTTCACACCCAAAAGAAATAGCTACTGTTATTAGCTTGTTGTCATTTCAGAGATTTTTACACATATATATTCTTTTCCTTCCTTTTTTGTGATATTCATTACACAGTGCTCTAACCTTGCTCTAATTTAATATATCATGCAAGTCTCCATATTAACTGTATGTAAAGATCACCCTTTTTGTGTTTTATAGAATTCTATCTATAATTTATTTTACCTATTTCTTAACAGTGGACACATTTTACTTTTCAGTCCTTTGTGAATAGAAACGATGCTTTAATAATTTAAATAGTTGTATGTAAGTCAATTCACACACTTGTGTATGAATAGATATGTAAATTCCTCAGTGATACTTTTCACTGATACTTTCAAAGTACCCTGCATTGACCTACTTTACAGATGAGGGAGGGCGATAAGGATTTATGATTGCAAATCCAGGGGTGGAAACAGCTTGCCTGCTCACAGGTATGATTTTTCCTGAGTTGGAGCGGGATGGGTGTGAGTAGCACAAGGTCGGCGAGGTTGGCGTTGTACACGGGGAGGCAGCTGTGAGGTGGGCAGGCAGAACAGCTCAACAGCGCACCGAAGCGCACGCGGAAGGAATGAGGCTTGGTTGCAGCGTGCTGGGAAGCCGCAGTGGCAGATGTGAGCCGAGCACGACCAATGTCTGAGCAAGCACTTTATGAGCCAGAAGCCCAGGGAGTGGGCACCCCCTTGGTCAGTGGCTCCAGAAATAGCTGTTATACACACAGTGGCCTTTGAGCCAGACTCCCTGTGCCAGTCGGATGCCTGCCACCCACACTGGGATTCATCAGGTCTTATCATTGTCCCAGTGGCTGAGTGTGGCCACCCCACGTGTCATTTAAGCCTGAGTGAGGCGCAGTGGGGTACTTTTTAAAGTGGAGCGACCTTGCTTGCATATTTTAAATAAAATATAGATATATATTTATATTTTCATAGACAGCATGATTTATATATTTATGTTATATGCAACATATTTAAATATATTTGTATTATTTACATGTATACTATTTACATAGACTATATATCTATATTTTGACTTATACAATATATATTATATATAACATGCATGACATAAAGTATATATACATACATATATAAATATATATATTTAAATAATAGAATATGCGTATATATTTTTATATACTTTCTCTTTTAAAGCAATTTTAGGCTCACAGCCAAGTTCAGTGGAAAGTACAGAGAGTTCCCACAGACCCCCCATCCCACACGTGCATGGCCTCCCCCACAGTGACATCCTGCGCCACAGTGGTACATTTATTACAACTGATGAACCTGCACTGACACTTCATTATCACTCAAAGTCACATTGGGGTTTATTCTTGATGGTGTACATTCTAAGGGTTGACAAGTACATTTTTTATTCTTGTTCTTAATGCTATATTATCTCACTTAATTCTTCAATAACCCTATGAGGTAGGTGCTGTAATTACCCCCATTTAGAGAAGAGGAAACTGAGGCACAGTAAGGTTAAGCTACTTGCCCAAGGTCATGAAGCTAGTGAGTGTGGGAACCGGATTTGAAACCAGGCCGTCTGATGCTGTGTGTGCGTTTCACCACTGTGCTAGACTGCCTCTGACTTGATCCCCCAGTGCCTTGTATTCTCTCCCCTTTTCCCACCCCTCCTTCAGGTGACAGAAAAGGGTTCTTTCTGTTCTTATTTCGCCTGGCTTCCCTGTAGCCTCATTGTCTGCCTGAGGAATCTTCGAGCAACTTCTGCTGTTTTCTGCAGCAGAAGCGCTGGGTGCTGAACTGCAGAAGCTGTGGGTTAGCACTAGCCAGGAGCATGAGGGTTATTGGTGAGGGGGACAGGGAAAAGAGAGGGTGAGGCTGGGAGTGGTGGCGGGGGAAAGGAGCAGGGACAGTGACACTGGCCTCCAGGTCCAAAGAGCTCTAAGATCAAAGGACAGTGGTGAAAATTGGAGGAGGGAGGTATATGGGACCAATCCCCTTGGGAGACTGCTGACCAGATAGTATGAGACTTGATTCTGGGTCATAGCAACAGCCAGCCTTTTCACTCATTCATTTACTTGTTATTCAGAATCTCCTATTATTTGGAGGGAAATCTCTGACAACTGGAGGGTCTTAAGTTTGTTAACAGGGTGATGGAGGAGGGTGATGGTATACACTTTGGGAGAGTTTTAACACAGCTACATTCTTATGCACAAGAAAAGGAGAGAGTTTGGGAAGCCCAGAAGGAAAACTCTAGAACCACACTGTCCAATGTGGCAGCCACTGGCCACATGTGGATAGTGAGCACTTGAAATGTGGTCAGTCCTTGTTGAGAAGAGCTGTGAGTGCAAAATTCACATTGGAGTTTGATGACTTAGAAGGAGAAAAGAGGGGCCAGCTGAGTGGCTCAGTTGTTTAAGAGCTCGCTCAAGAGTTTGAACTCTGAGCAACAGCAGTTCGATGCTCGGCCTGAGCTGAGCTGCCACTAAGCTGCCAATAGGTAGCAGGATGGCTCAGCTAAAAAAAAAAAAAAAAAAAGATTCAAGAAGGAGAAAAGAATGCAAACTGTTTCATTAATAATTGCTTATATTGATCATATGTTACAGTGATAATGCTTTGGATATAGTAGGTAAAATAAAATATAGTGACACTTGGACAATGCAGGACTTAGGGATGCTGACCGCCTGCACAGCTGAAAATCCATGTGTAGCTTTTAATGCCCCAAAAACTTTACTAATAGCCTATTGTTGAATGAAGGCCTTACCGATAACATAAACAGTCAATTAGCACATATATTGTATGTTATATGTATTAGACAGTGTATTCTTACAGTACAGTAAGCTAGAGAAGAGAAAATGTAATTAAGAAAATCATAAGGAAGAGAAAATACACCTATGTTTTTTACTGTACATATTGATCGAGAAACATCCACATATGAGTATAAGTGGACCCCCTGAAGTTCAAACACATGTTGCTCAAGGGTCAACTGTAAATACGTAAGATTAATTGTGCTTTCCTTACCTTTCTTAATGTGACTACTGGAAATATTTAAATGACTTACGTGGTTCGCATTCTATTCTATTTCTACTGGACTGTGATGATCCGGAAGAAAGGAGCAAGAGCCAGGAAGACTCAGGACCGTGGGGAAGGTTCCCGAGACGGGGAAGCTCCGTGGCTGGTGGCTGGAAAGGAAGACGTGGGGAATTGTCACCAGTGGGGTTTCTTGGAGGATCACGGTGTGATGGGCGATGTCATCTCTCACCTCAAGTCTTCACTATGAAATCGTCAGTAAAAGCTACACTACTTTTTAATAAAGCGAATTAGAAAGAATTTCCTTTGGAGAAGCTTATGTCTTCCCTTGAGGTGACAGAAAAATTTTGGAAAACCCATGTTTGAGTGTCACTTGTCTATATGTCACTAGTCTATGTTCACTAGTCCAAACCATGTTTGAATTTCACTAGTCTACAATTAGAGAACTAGAAGAAGAGTGTAGAGTGCAGATACCCTGTCTCTTTACATTCTAGTCAGCATGTCCAATGAATTCTTAAAGAGTTTTCAGACTGTCCATGAGTCATTTTTAAGAGAAAGTAGTTTTCTTCTTTCACCACACTATGTTTCTTTCCCTGTTAACTTTTTGGTAACGTGACTGAATTGAGAGAGTTGACTGTCATGAGAGGCTTTGAATCAATAAGGGATTGCTGGCTCATTAAATTCAAATTCAGGTCATCACCAATGTTGCTACCTAACAGTTGCTTAATAGATTTCATTCTTTGGTAGTTGTGAAGCCGAATTGTCAGGGGCCAAACCTTTTTGGATATGACTGTGTTTAATCATCTAATGTAGCCCCTGCATATCAGATTTGAGAAATCACTGAAAAAATGTTTGACGACTATGGCCAGCATACCCTATGCTGCTTTCTTCACCTTTGAATGAAAAGATGCTTGGAAACAAGAATTTAATTTGAAGCTTCGTAATTAGGATCATGGCTGACATTCTGGTGTGAATTTTGAAAGGAAAATGCTAGAGGAAGCTACAGAAAACTTGAGGGAATAGAAAGAAGCAAGTTAACTGACTTTCTAATGAGCCAAATAATTTGTAAAAGTAACAATGGCAGTAAATTTGAGGTGATGTGGTCTCAAAGGAAAGACTACATTTTAATGAATTACTGTTCAATTCATCCTTAGCCAGATATTCCCCTGTTTCCATCTCCTTTTGTGGTATGAAGTAATGAGCCTCTGAAAACTAACAGCTGAACTGATTTTAGAGATTTACTATCTTTAACACCACAGAGTTGTGTGTCTATGGCTTTTTGTATAACAGAAATATCAACAAAATGGTTCAGATTGTACCAGTGATTTAATACCCCTGAACTGAGGGTGATGTGGTAACAGAGATAATAAATGTAGTGGCGTGAGGAAAAGAAGTCGTGTGGGGGCATGAAGGGATTTAACAGGAAAAAAAAAAGAAAAAAAAAGCCAAGTTTGTGTAACCCTCAATAAATGTGGATACTATAGATATGTTTGATTTTATACCAGGGATATTTCACAAAAATTCGGATACACTTTTAACTGGTTTTGATTTCTAGAAAATGTCCCTTGAGTTTTCTGTAAAACTTGCAAGATTTCCCCTCTGAGTTTCCATAATTGCCTTAACCTTATTTCACATATTTTATTTGAGTCAGAATGATAAATGAGTGATTTGATTGTTAAAGTGCTAAATGAAGAACCAGACAATAAGAAAGTCTACACAAATTCAGACTTTCTCTTTAATCAAAGTCTGGGTTGTGACCAGAGCTTTGGGGTTGGCACGTGTGAATTAATACAAGTGAAGGAATTAATTTCCCTGCCTAGTTAGTGTTAGCCACAATTATACAAATTTCAAGGTGGATGAAAGTAATGAGCCTGATTTTGTTGTAATCGCACAAGAATGTATTCATACAAATGGCTGCTGCCCCTCTGTTTACTCTGCAAGGACGAAAGCTTATGTTAAAGATGTGGCCATTGACCAAAACAATTTTTAAAACCCTCTTTTGGAATTGACTTCAGAGCGTGAACCAGAGTCTTTTAAATAATCGTGGCTGTTGTACCTCTTCATCTTTTAGGGACAGAGTTGATATCTGGGGAACATCCAACAGCATCCACAGTCAAATCTTTGTGAGCATGGTGGGCGATAAAATTGGGTGATACCCTTTGGGGTTAAAAATCAAATATGACTAAATATGACTCTAGAATATTGAAAATGATTTGCTATAGCTTCAAAACCCTTAAATTAACTTTAAAATCAATTCCAATACAAGAGTGTCCTATGTGTTTTGAGCAAAGGCAGTGAGTGCCCTTGGAACATGTAAGTACAGAGTTTGCCAAGGTGACTATTCTAGAAGGGATTACCCAATTTAGAGGTTTGTTTAAAAAATCAATCGCATCACTTTATGGGCTCAGTGAAATGTAATAGGAAGAACATGAAGAGTGAGAGCCAGATGGGCCCACCTCCACCCCTTTCAGCTCCAAGTGACCTTGGACAAGTTATTTAAGCTCTCTGAGCTCCTGCTTCAGAATTACCCATCGGAGATAATAACTTCCACTGGGACTGTTGCGAGGGTTAGAAATATAGTATGTCAAGTGCCACATATATTGGCCTACACATAGTACAGGGTTTGTGATTATTATTTGATGAATTTTTTTCTACCCAGCCTATTTCAAAATGGATTAAAAGTAGTTAAA